AGCATGGGGGCAGATTCCTGTCCAGCGGTATGTCACTTTGGCGCATGCAGAGGCCATGTGCCTACGTTGTGTTTGCGTTGTACTTGAAGTTTTGTTAGCGTGGCATGGCGTGGCGTGGCGTTCCAGTAGCGTACCGTTTCTCTTGGTTCCCCTCCCTCCCTACGCTTTCTTTCTTATTTATTTATTTAGTTATTTATTCTTTCAGGGGTTGGTTCATTTTACTTCCACTGGGCTTCTGGCCTCAGTGTGACGGGTGCTATAGGGGAGGGCTCGTGGCTGGGTTGCGGGTTGGTAGGCCTGTGGGTGTTCTTCCGCCTTGGGGTGTATTGCGGTTGCAGCCCCCTGGCCCATGGGCACCCAACCTCCACTTGCGACGCAGGCGTTAAATGTAATAAAAGCTAGATGGCTGTCATCTTGGTTTGTTTCGCCCAAGTTGAGCTCCACAATGTTAATAGCTCTATTCACTGGATATTCAGACAGTCCATCTTGCATTCCAGCCATATTTAACCCTTTGGAGCCCAGTGTCCGATATATCGGACAGCAGAGTTGTCCGCAGTTATTTTAAGCAGCAGTCTCTCCCAAAGTCGTTACCAGTCTCCAAACGATTATTTAAGCAAAAACACACAAGGAGTCGCCATTTTGGTTAGATTGCCGGTATTTTCGTCGATTTTTTCGATTTTGCGGGGTTTGTTGACAAGACGGGATTTAAAATCCACTTGTAAACATGAGTAGAAGGCCTGTGACATATAGCACGCAGGATGTGCTCGATTATTTGGAAGGAAATTTCGCTATTCCCGAAGATGGTTTTGAGTCTGACATCGATGGATTTGAAAGTGAAAGTGACGACGATTTGGAGCCAGAAATTATTCGGCATGAGGACCTTATGGAGCCAGATGATGAAATTGACTTGAGAAATGTTGTCATGGAGGATGAAGAAGCCGATGACACAGATAATGGTGAAACTAGTGCAGCTGGAAGGTCAAATAACTATTCGTTCGCAGGTTTAGAATGGACTGATGCACCTGAAGAGGTACCAGCCATTCCTGAGTTTAGAGAGAATGTTGGACCAGCTGTAGCGTGCTCTGCTGAAATGCTGACTTCAATTGTTCGAGAAACAAACAGGTTTGCAATCCAATGCCTTACGGCCAATGGAAAAGATCCTAACTCATGGGTAGCAGTGACTTTAGAGGAGCTAAAAGCTTTTCTAGGTTTGATTATTGCCATGAGCATCCATTCTTTGCCTTCTCTGAGAGATTATTGGAAGGATGACTGGATTTTAGCTGTCCCTGAATTTGCAAAAGTGATGCCAACGAACAGATTTCTGGACGTAAATAGATATTTACATCTAAATGATAACTCGAAGATGCCAGCACGTGAATCTCCTGATGTGGATAAACTTTTCAAACTAAGACCATTCCTGGAAAGCTTACAAGCTAATTTTACTCGCTGCTATAATCCTCACAAGGAACAAGCCATCGATGAAGCAATGATAAAATACAAAGGTAGGACTTCTCTCAAACAGTATATGCCGATGAAACCAATCAAACGTGGTATAAAAATGTGGTGTAGAGCAGATAGTCATTCAGGATACTTGTGTGACTTTGACATATACACTGGACGCCATCGTGATGGTATTCAGAGGGGGCTGGGCTACTCCGTTGTCACCCGCCTTTGCCGGGGAATAGAGGGAAAGTGGTACAATGTCTACTTTGACAATTTTTTCACATCATATCCTCTGCTGGAAGATCTTTATTCAAAGAAAATTCTAGCTTGTGGAACTGTTAGACAGGGACGAAAAGAATTCCCTGCAGTTCTTTTTGACAAAAATGCAATCAAAACAATGAAAAGGGGAGAGACGGTCTGGAGGATGAAGGGTCCTATCCTTGCCCTAACATGGATAGACAACAAACCAGTGACCATTTCTGGCACAACAACTGGCATTCCTGACGAGCAACTACCTGAAGTGCAAAGAAGGAAAAAAGATGGCACCCTTGAGAATGTTGCCTGTCCTCCCATTATTTCAACCTACAACTGCTACATGGGTGGAGTTGACAAAAACGATCAAATGAAGTCTTATTATGGCATTAACATATCTGGAAAGAAATGGTGGACAAGGGTTTTCTTTGACCTCATTGACAGGGCAATATTCAATGGAAAAGTATTGTTCAATGAATCCCCCCACACTCCAAGAAAAAGCTTGACGGCTTTCAAGGTTGATTTAGCGAAGTTGCTCATTGGTAACTTTTGTTCTCGACGAAAGCGTGGGAGGTCCTCTCTCGATAATCAACAAGCAAGGTTTGTGGAGAGGCATTTTCCTGACTTCCTGCCAATGAATGACAATGGGAGGAGGATGGAGAGAAGATGTGTCATTTGCTCTGGGGCCAACATCAGGAAAAAAACAAGCTATTATTGCCCTGACTGTGATGTTGGACTATGTGCCGCACCTTGCTTTCGCATGTACCATCAACGTTGAAATCTGTAAAAGTTATGTTGAGGTCATCAACTGAACTATTTTACTGCTGTAATGCTTCTTTGTTCTTTGAACTTTAACCAATAGCATTAAATCTAGCTCATCTTAAGGAACAGTGAGATTTTGAAACATTTTCTGAAACTTAGTGAATTATTGCGCAACTACCCAGTTGTCTAAAATCAGGCATAGAATATCTTGAGGTTGATTAAATTTCTTAAATGTGGAACCAAAAGAATCCCTGATAGTTAATCTATCAATCTGTGTGGTTATTGGAATTTTCATGTTTATTTTTTGACCTCCATGGCTATTTAATTATTTTATTTGAATATGAAGTGACACAGAAGTGAATAATTAAACAGTTATAATGGTATCATATCACATCAGATACCTTGCTAACATCACTCAAAATAAACTGCAATTATTAAGGATCCTAATACTTTTTACAGAATGTGATTATGCTGAAAAGGTAAAAAGATATGATAGTTTTATCTTGCTTGGTTTAAGTTTTTTAAAATCCTTTAAAATTAATTTGGGCTCCAAAGGGTTAAGACTTTTAGTCCAGTACAATTTTCCACTATTTCACAGAATGTTGACCAGGTTGTTCTTGCCCCAGCTAAGTCTATAGATTGGAAGAGACAGGGCCTCCATTTAACCGCCTGACGAAAGTTATCCGCAGTCTCCTTTGATGAGTTTTGGGCCTTTACTCTTTAGAACTCAGTATCCTTTGCGTACTTAATCAGATTTTTGTCCTGAGAAATTTGCAGCCACACCTTACACACAAGAGAAGCAGCTTTTCGAACAAATTTGTAAGGTAAATAAGAGAAAATGTTAAGTATGATGCTTTGAGGTAAACTATCCATTTAACTTCAGTCTAGCACCCTGAAGACGAGTACTAGTATTTGTGAAGTTAGAACGGGAGTGACTGTTTATGGTGCCACTAAAATCGTCCTATCAGATAGCTTTAAAAGTCGCTAATGCTATCAGATCCTCTTGACCCCCACCAAAGACATCATAGATATGTTTGTGATTTTGTTCTCAAGATCCAAGGAACCAATTGCTTGAAGCAAAATAAAAAGTAACAGATCAAGGAAACTTTCGTTCTAAAAATGAAATACAGAAGTACTGAAATCTCTATACTTGAAAACCTAAACATATTGCAAGGGGAATGGAAGTTCTTATCTTCAAACGAAAAGGCCTCTTCATACTCTAAAAAAACAACATTTCGCCATATCTTAATGATTTAGAGTTTCAAGTGAATGGCAGTTCTTATTTTTTTATGTTGGCTGAAACTATCAGATGTTCTGGTTCTCCAGCCAAAAGGAGCTGTTTGCGTTTTTGGTCGCAAGATCAAAGATACCAACTGGGATGCCAGAAAAGTCTTCAACTGCTGGAATAGGAGGTAACGATGATGGACAACACTCAAAAACAAAACCGCCGAAAACTAAGAAGCGTGTTGACCCAAGTGACGATGACGTAGCTCCTACAGTCCGAAAACGAAAAAAAGAGGGAGACCTTTATAAAAACTTCTTGGAGGAGAAAAGTGAAAAGGAGTCGGGCTGGCGTTTGATGCACGTGGGCAATAAAAAACAGAGGGGTGAAGTACGAGGGGAAGAGGAAGTAAATGAAGGAAAAAGTGATGAAAAGGATAGTGACTTGGGGAAAGAGAGCCAACAGATAGAGATGGTGAGAACGGAGAAGGAAAGGAGGGAAAGGGAAGTGGAAATTTGGCAGAAAGACAAGAGAAAATGGGAAGAAGAATGGAGAAGGGAGGGATTGGAAAGAAGGGAGAAGGAAAGGAGAGAATGGGAAGAGAAATGGAAAAAAGAGGAATTGGAAAGAAGGAAGAAGGAAAAGAGAGAATGGGAAGAGAAATGGCGTAGAGAAGAAGTGGAAAAAAGAGAGACAGGAAGAGGTGGAAAGAAGGGAGACGGAAAAAAGAGAGTAGCAAGACGAGAGGAGACGCAAAGATGTGGAAAGAAAAGAGAAAGAGAGGAGAGAATTGGAAGAGGAAAGGAGGAAGGAGGACGTCCAATATACAGAGAGCCTGCAAGAAGATAACGCAGATATGATGCTACTCCCCTCAGACCTTGATTGGGCGGACTGGTCCCTGGACAGTCCAACAACTAGCCAAGCAAGAAGCGGGTGGCAAAGTACTTCCTTCCAACAAAGCAGTGAGAATTGGCAATCTCAGATGAACGAGGTAAACTGAGAACATATGTTTCTAGTTACAGGTGTATCTTGACCACTTATTCCCAGCCTATTGTTTTTTACAGACAGTGAAAAAAATGGAATCAACCCTTGCAGCATTTATGGCTGAAACAAGGATTACCTTGCCGAACTTGGATGACCGCATGAGGAAGTTTGAAAATCCTGATCTTCTACCTGGACATTCAACTGCATTTTCGGCAAAAATTAATATTGTTTTTTGAAATGTTTAATTACCGGGTAATAATTAATTGCAGTATTACAGAGATAATGGTGATGTTTCCGATAATTAGCAACTGTGGGTAGTGGTGGAAATTTACCGAACCAGCAATATGACCCGTTCAATCTCGATAACATCGATTCAGCCGAATGTAAAGCAGAGTTCCACATTGAAAAAGCCGACCTTCCTCGCCTTGCTGAAGCACTGCAATTGCCTCCCACTTTCCACTGTCAACAGAGGACTGTGTTGGACAGTATGGAAGGACTGTGTATACTTTTGAAAAGAGTGTCCTACCCATGTAGGTACAGTGACATGATTCCTCGATTTGGGAGACCGGCATCCGTTTTAAGCCTTAAAACAAATCACACCTTAGACTACATTTACGAAAACCACGGTCACCTAATAACAGTAGATTAGAAATATGTAAAATCCTCGTGCCCTAGGAGCTCCACTCAACAATTGTTTCAGATTCGTCAATGGAACCGTCAGGCCGATCTCCAGACCACGACATGCTCAGCGAGTTGTTTATAATGGACATAAAAGGGTTCATTCCTGTAAATTCCAGTCGCTGGCGTTGCCTAATGGATTAATTGGAAATATTTTCCAGCTAGTAGGTAAGTATGAATGAAAACAAATTTTCTTAGTCGATTGATGGTCGCAATCAGACTTAATTTTGTTCTCTTACTGTCTAAGGAGGATAGCTTAGTGAGGCAAAAATATAATTTTTTGTTTTGCAATCAGACAATTGATAGAGTACTTTTGTATTTCAGAGGGACGCAAACACGATGCAGGCATGTTGGCTGACTCGGGACTCCTTAATAATCTCCCGAGATTTCCAATTCCTCCCACTGGCCAACCTATCTGCATCTATGGAGACCCAGCATACCCTCTAAGGGCACACCTCCAAGCTCCATTTCGTCAAGGTTGTCTTACTCCACAAATGCAGGCCTACAATGACGCAATGAGTGAAGGACGAGTTTCTGTTGAATGGCTTTTTGGCGACATTATTAACTCTTTTAAATTGCCCAATTACAAAAAAAACGTAAAGATTGAACTCAGCAGTGTGGGAAAGCTGACGCGGTATGTGCACTGCTTCGAAATGCTGTCACTTGGCTATATAAAAACCAAACTTCACTTTTTTTAACTTGACCCTCCGATTCTGGAAGACAATAAAGACAATTTTTATTAACCTAAAAATTATACAAAGTCATGGAACTGAATGGCCCGCGTAAAATATTCGAACTCAACATTACATTCAGGCTGCAAATAATTAGCAATAAAATACGAGACTCAAGCTCAATACAGTAAGGTGTAAGAGTCATTGTCAAAGTCATCGACAAATTTAACTTTTCTCAACTTTAACTGGGTTGACATGTTTTAACTGGCATGTGTTAACAAATTTGCAGCATGTAATTTCATTTTGTAAACAAGTCATGGTTAAAACCAACTTAGTGCCGCCTACAAATAAACTTATGTTAGTTTCACTTGTCAAGCAGTTTCTTGACAACTGATACGAAAGCCTGATTCATCTGTTGCTGTTGTAACATCATGGCTTGTATCATTTCCTGCTGTTTTCCCTGATCCTTTCGTTTAATGTCAAACTCTTGCTGGTAAAGTTCCCTTTCGGCATTAGCATTTTCGCGCAAGAAATCCACTAGCGGTTGTGCACATCTCTTGCGGCCTGAGGTTGTTGGCTGATCCTCATCAGTCGTTCCTCTCGATAATTTTCGCTTTTTTATTTTCCCCATACTCTCCATGGCTTTCTTCCTTATCTCTTCGGTTTTATCTTTGTCATTCTTCTGTTGAACTTATAGATGGTTGACATCTGGTTTGATGGTATCCTCTCGCTCGATCAACTCTTCGATTAGAACTTCCTTCTCTGTCAGATCTTCAACGACGACACCACTAGCCGCCTCCTCCTCCAAGATGCCTTTTGCTGGAAATAGTATTACGCCATGGATGAAAGGGAATAATTAGTTTGACAATAAGCCGTGTCGGTAACTACTCGAAGTCGACAGTGACTTACTATAGCAACTGCTCAGCTACTTTAACTTACTTTTCACTGTGGTGATATAAGCACTAATCCAGGGCCTCAGTTTACAAAAAATGTTCTGAGTGTGGCTGGGTTGTAGCCCCCAATCATCAAGCGACTTGGTGTGATGGCTGCTCTTCGTGGACTCACATCAAATGTGGTGGAATGTTACCTAAAGAGTATCAAGACATGAAATCCACTAACAGTTCGCGGATCAGCAGGTTGTGCTTAAAACTGCTACATCAGTTTCCTTTTGCATATGCAAGTCTAAATTCTAGCAGCATTTCTAACGTCGAATCAGCCCTTGAGGAGAATGATACAGTGACATCAGTTTGGGCAGAGTTTGATAACATAGCTCGAAAGCACAGTGAAAACTTGAAGATCAGCCATATTAATCCTAACAGCGTTGGTGGCTTCAAATTCTATGAAATAAAATCTTGGCTACTCTCTAGTAGATTTGACATTTTAGTTATTTATGAGACCAAGATTGATGCAAGTTTTGCGGACATTCAATTTCATATCGATGGTTACCGCCTATGTCGCAATGACAGACGGGCTGGCGGCGGAGGGTTAATGATTTATGTCTGGAGTGATGTCTACTTCATGAGAGTGAGAGAGCTCAAAGCAATATCCCTTAAGGATTTAACTACCTTTCAAACAGAGTTTATGGTTCTCAAAAGCAAACTAGGAAAGGGCTGGATAACAGTTGTTGGTGTTTACAGGCCTCTGCCTGTACCGAAATCTCAATGGATTAATGAGCTTCAATTACTCTTTCAAGCAGTGTCATTACTTTCAGATACTGTTTTACGCCAGAGATTTCAATGCAGATTTGTTAGATCCAGACAAGCCTCCAAAAGATGGTAGGGGCCTCTTAGACTTGTTGGATATCTTTGATCTCAATTTCTTAATTACCGAAGCAACTCATAAGACCATAACAACTGACTCGTCCTGGCTAATAATAAGACAAGGACTTTGGCTTCTGGTGTGGTGGATACTCAGATCCATATGCATACCATATGCAACCTATATATTATGAATTAAAGTTCAAACAAGGCTGTTCTCTAGCAGACCCCGGTGGCTCCTGGCGCCTAACTTTTGCTCTTGCGTGACTAGAAAATCTCAGATTTTTCATACAAATCATATGCTGGGCAGCCTAGATTTTACAGGTGCAGAGAACTGGGCTCCTTTCAATGTTCCTTAGAGCACAGCCTTGGCAAATACGAAAACCTACAGGCTTTATTCTAATTTCATATGTAAGTTCAAGTCTCAAGTCCTTAACTAAAAACCGTTACTGCGTCTAACCTGTATAGTAGCCCTTGGAAACTTAACTTATTATGCCAAATCTTCTCCTATTTTATTTAACATTGGTCTTCACAAGTCTGCTATAACCTATTTGTGGCGCCAGAACATACAATGTTCAGAGTATTCCACTGACTGTTTGCAACAAAGAGTACAGTTATTTCTGCAGTTAATAATATACACGAAAAAATTAGTCAATTCCGATTGGCTGAGAAAGGAGTGCCGCTCTTCTGTAACACGAGTGCAAACTTGTAACACGAGTGCAAATTACAAATGCGTTCTGATTGGGTAAAAACACAAAAGAAACCAACAAGAACCAATCAGATTAGAGCTGTTTCTATAGCAACATGTTGGCAGAAATTTTACGATAAGATGCAGAGGAAAAGGGCCGGGGTTTTCAGCAAACAAGGATTTGGTTTTGCGGGTGAAACAACAACTGAAAAGCTAAAAAAAAAATCCAAAAACCCAAACACAGTAAAGATTACGTCTTTCTGGCTGAATGTATGGGAGACGTAACGCAAACAGAAAAATATTGTCAACAAAATCGAGGAAAACGAGCCAGAAAAACTAAACAAGCTACTTGAAAAATTCTACGCTGAAGTAAAAAACAAAAACGGTGACGACTACGAGCCAGACAGCTTAAGAGTGATGATAGCTGCACTTGATAGACATTTAAATGAGAAAGGATACAAGTTTTCCATTATAAGCGACGGGGAGTTCCACTCTTCCAAGCAAGTTTTAGAGGGGAAAGCTTGGCAGCTTCGCTAATCTGGTATGGGCAAACGTCCAAATAAAGCCAAAAGTTTCACTGAGGAAGAAGAAGAGGTGCTGTGGGAGGAAGAAAAATTTGGTTCCAAAACTCCAGAAGCACTTATTTCTTCTATGTGGTGGCTTTTAACGCAGTTCTTTGGTCTCCGCGACCGTCAAGAACACCACGCAATGAAAACGGAACATTTTCAACTCTGCAAAAATGACGAAGGTATGGAGTTCGTGCAGTTTACCGAAGGTCCAATGAAGACCAGACAGGGCAGACTGCAGAGCAAGAACAGAGATTTTCAGCCACGAATGTTCTCTGTTGAAGAAGAAAGGTGTCCGGTTGCTCTCTTCAAGCAGTTTGTCAAGCAAAGACCATTAAACATGCGATGGTCAGGTCCTTTCTACCTCAGTATCAAAAGAAACCGAAGACTGAATGACAACCTCTGGTTCAAAACTTAACCAATAGGCATAAACACTATTAGCAACATGATGAAAACAACTGTGGCGGGTACTAGCCTTGAAGAAAGTCACAAAAAGTTAGTTCACGAATCACAGTGCTAGAAAGAGAACATTGAGCAAGCTAAAGAAAGTAAACGTTGAACGTTCAGATATTGTGAAGGTCACAGGCCACCAAAGTGTACAATCCCTTAACGATAAAGATGAAGCCGACGAGGAAGAACAACGACAACTCTCCAGTACAATATCCAAACGAAATTATGAAAACCCCAGTGCTGAGAAAAAGCGAATGGCAGTTTCCGACATCACAACAACTGTGGCTCCACTCGCTCCAGTAAACACGAACGTGCCCGTACCACAGACATTGGCCGGCCCATCGATGACAGCGACGAAAGAAAACCAATTCTCGCCATCACTTTCAGGTTTTCAAGCTCAGAATTTCTCTGTGAATCCAACCATGATGAGATCCCAGGATAAGACCATGATGAACACGTTCAACAACTGTCAAGTGTCTTTCACGATTGGCCGCTCGAAGTGAGCTCTGAGATTTCAAAACGACAGCCCAGTTCTTGTAAACGCCGAGCATTCATTATTGAGGATGATTTTGATTGAATGTTTACTTTTCCTGATTATTGTAAAGCGAGTTTTCTATACATAAATGTAAAAGGTGTTAAATCAATCCTAACACATTTCCAAGTTCTAATTTGAATGATTTTGAAAGTGTCGGTCTTGTAAAAGTTTGCATTTGACAAACACTGTAATCTGTTTCAGCCAATCAGTTGAATGAACTAAAAGCGCGCCCTGTCAAAATTTTTTTGTTGTAGTTATTTTTTTCGTGTATATTATTAAGTAATCACATGATTTTTCCTGTGCAATTTGGAATAAATAAGCACTTTTCAATTTTTCAAAGACCACAAAGTGCACTCGCCCTACAGGCTCGCGCACTGTTTTTGGTCTTTGACAAATTTACTTGTGCTTATTTATTCCAAATTGCACTCGGAATCATGTGATTACCTATACAAACAAAAAGCAGCAAAAAGGGATCTGATCAACGGTACTGTATATCTTTGCATGCATTTTTCAAGTTTACAAGCTTATTTACGCAGTTTTTAGAATACATACCTTTCTCCATTGATCCAGCTGAGTAAACTCACTTGCAAATATGCTTTATGTGAACACAAACTTCGCCATTGATCACTTTGTCTCGAAAATAACAAGGACAGAAAGACAGTATTAACAAAAATACTTTGTTGCTTGTAAGGTCGACGTGAATTTGAACTATTCAACAGAAGTTCATTTCACACTTTTCTGTTGGTTCAAAAGCCGCACGTGACAAAGTAAATCAAATAGCACATGTGCCAAAGGCACGCTTGGAATCCTGGGAACCAAGAAAAATGGCAACTAATCTTGCGATGCTTCCGTTCAAGTCAAAATGGCAGTTATTTTCAGCGTTAATTAAGATGAACCAACGCATTTGAAGTGGTAAAAGCAAGAGGTAAACTTAAAATTTCTCTTTTAAGTTGGGAAAGAACAAGCTGGACTACGTTATCAATCAAAGAACTGCAACGAAAAACGAGTTGTGGTCATTGTTCAGGTTAGACAAAGCTCACAGGTTAGTTTGGAAATCTGATTGAACCAAAGACACTTTGAAGGAACACACTACGGTAAGAAACAGATAAAAAAATGGAAATGATCCTTGTAGTTAAATGGACAATCTAAGTGGTCGAAAAAGTACCTGAAAAAATTAAGGCTTGATGGGGATTCGAATCCTGACCTATACGATTGATCGGATGCAATTGTTTAACCACTAAACTTATCAAGCCAACTGGAGAGCACGCAACTGTGAGCTAGCGTCTACCCAATGGTGGACAATTTTTTATCAATTGTGGATATAGATATGAAAGTAGAAATGATCTTCGCAGTTAAATAAATTAACCATAAGGTTGAAAAAGAACTGTAGAAAAAATTCAGAATAGGGGGTACTTGGATATATTTCGCTATGGTTTTTATATAAGTTTTGCAGATTCGTTTTATTATCAAATATTCAAAATTAACTTTATATAAATACTTCATACATCTATACCTGCATAAATTACGCTTTTCGCCACAGCATAAATTGTGTGGATTGTTCTTGGTCATGAATACTCACTGGACATTTTGATGTCAATATTAATCTGTAAAAAATGCATTTCTAATTGTCTGATAATAAATAGATAGAAATACTGTAAAACATATTGTTTCTAGTTCTTATTGCTATCACTTGTGGAACATGGCCAGGAATTTTGGCTTTCCTGGCTTCTGGTTTTCTGGCCAGGAAGGCCATGAAATGCCAGTGTGGTCGGAAAAGCCATGCTTCTAAGGCCAGGCTTACCTCAAAACCCTGGCCTTGACCGGGCTTACTGGGCTTTTCCAGGCCACGCTTTCCTGGCAAGCCCGCCAGCCCTTGGCAAGCCTGGCCTGGCCAGGCTTGGCCGGGCTTACCATGCTTTTGACCGCGCTTCTGATGCAAGGGCAGGTCTTGGAAAAGCATCCGAGTACCATTGCCATACATAAACATTTTAGAGACCTCACGCCACTTTTATTATTATTTTGATTCTCACTATACCAGTTATGTGCAGGTTGAAAAATTGCTTAAAGATGTTAATGGGACCAAATCAAGTGGTCAAAACATTTTACTGCCACAACTAATCAAAGCATCGGCAGCTGCAATAGCTAAGCCCGTTGCTAATATATTTAATGCCTACATTGCTCAAGGTTGCTACCCGAGTGCATGGAAAATGGGGCAAGCAACACCACTACTAAAGAAGAACGATGAATTTAAAAAAAGAAAACTATAGGCTTGTCACAGTCCTACCTGCACTCAACAATATATATGTGAGGCTGTTAGTAGCATAGCTGGGAGACCTTTATCAAGCAATTCTGTCAAATTTCATTAGCTCTCACAGAAAGTTCCAATGTTGCGAAGACGGCGATATTAAAGTTGACTGAGGACTGGCGGGCCATGCTTGATAAGGGGGAATTAGTTTCGGTAGTCTCAATGGATCTTTCTAAGGCTTTTGATGTTATCGATCATGATCTACTCTTAGCAAAACTTAAGGTTTGTTGTGTGGGAGAAAGAAGTTTTGTGCTCTTCAACGATTACTTGTCGGGGAGACAGCACAGAGTCAAGATTGGGGACACGTTTTCCAACTGGAAAGGAGTTATAAGAGGGGATCCGCAAGGAAGTGTCCTGGGGCCAGTGTTTTTTAATATTTTCATCAACAACTTGTTTTACTGGGTAACACAATCATCAGTTATACTTGTAGAGTAATCATTGTAGTATCAGCTATGTAACCGCTCCTCCAGTAAATTTACCCAGCGACCATGTGCTTCACAGTGGTGCAAAAAAAGTTGGAGAAAATAAAAGGCAGTTATTTTTGTTTACAAAGTCTGTGTGGAATTCACAGTAGTTAAGCGTGAGAATATTACATTTGGCGACGAGGATATTATGGCTTTGATCAGTAAAGTGGAGGAATTCTAGGAAAACGACAATTGGATAGAATACACAGAGCGACTGGAGTATTATTTTACGGCAAATGAAATTACTGACAACGGGAAGAAACGAGCAGTCTTATTAAGCTCGTGTGGAGCCAAAACATACAAGCTACCCGGTAATCAGGAATTTAGTGGCGCCAAGGAAGCTGACCGACAAATCCTTTGCTGAGCTGGTAAACATTCTTAAAAACCATTTAAACCCGCGACCTTCAAGTATTATGTATCGCTTCAAATTCAACTGCCGTTTTAGAAAACAAGGAGAGACAATCCAGCAATACATCGCTGAACTGTGAAGCATTGCGACTTTCGTGATCAGTTGGAAGAGATGATTTATTGTTTGGTATGTGGAGTAAATAATGAGAGGATACAACGTCAACTGCTGGCGGAGAGCCAATTGGATTTCAAGAAAGCACTGGAATTAGCTACGGCTATGGAAATAGTGAACAACAACACGGGGAATATACAGCACGGAAATTCAGTGGACAAAACCCAAGGAACAGCCAGTAAACTGCTGGAGTAAACAACAGGGCAAACATGCAGCTAAAGAATGTTATCGTTGCGGAGGGAAGTTTCATGAAGCTGAAAAATGTAGGTACAAGGATGAGAAATGTTAGCAGAGTCATAAAAAAGGTCAAAAGACGATCAAGTGTCGTGCCAACCCGAAAAACAAATCAGCGAAATAGCCAGAAGATCGGAACACAAATCATATGGAAGCGCCAGGTTCGGAAGAAGAGGAAGAAGAAAATGGAGAGGAATATATGATGTTTAGAGTGGTTGCGGAACGTAAGGAGCCATACTGTGTTGTGATTGACTTGAATGGAATTGAGCATGGAAGTTGACACTGGTGCAGCCCCTACCATCATTAGCAAAGAAACGTTCAAGGAAATTAATCAGGGACATTCAGCGAAGAAGAAACGTGAAATGAAACCTGCTCATGTGAAACTTCGCACATACAAAGGTGAATTAATCAAAGTTCTAGGAACTGTAGACGTTGTTCTGCAATATGAAGGGCAAAAAAACGAGCTGTCAACACTGGTAGTGGAAGGACCTGGACCGAGTTTGCTTGCAAGAGACTGGTTGAAAGAAGTGAAGCTTGACTGTAAGAAATTGTTCAAAATGAATATGGATGAAAAGCTGGTGGAATCTTGGCTTGAGAAATTGATCAATCAGTGTTCAGAAGTTTTTGAAGAGGGCTTAGGAACTTTTACGGGCCAAAGGCCAAGATTCATGTGGAAGTGGATGCTGTGCCAAAATTTTGCAAAGCACAACCGGTGCCATATGCCATGAAAGGAAAGATAGAGGAAGAGCTTAAGAGACTACAGGAGGAAGGGACAATTGAGTCTGTGCAGTTCTCGGAGTGGGCAGCTCCTATTGTGGCGATTATGAAACACGACAATTCCATTCGCATCTGTGGTGATTACAAAACGACAGTTAATCAAGTTTCAAAGCTCGATAATTATCCTATACCAAAGGTGAGGGACTTGCTGGCAACCCTTGGTGGTGGCGAGAAGTTTACAAAGTTAGATATGAGCCAAGCCTACAGTTACAACTGGATGATCACTCTAAACAGTACATTACTATCAACACACATAAAGGGCTGTTTCAGTATAACCGCCTTCCATAAGGAATTTCGTCTGCCCCAAGTATCTTCCAACATAACATGGAAAATCTGTTACAAAACATGCCCTATGTGATTGTCGGGGTAGATGACATCTTGGTGTCCGGTACTAATAATGGAGATCATTTAAAAAATCTGGAAGAAGTCTTTAAACATCTTGCAAAGGCTAGATTGTGACTGAAGAAAGGAAAGTGCATGTTCATGGAACCGCAAGTAACCTACCTGGGTCACCGCATAAGCAAAGAAGGTATTCAACCGACTGAGGATAAAGTAGAGGCCATTACCAATGCACCACCCCCAAGGAATGTATCAGAGCTGAAGTCTTGTCCAGGAATGATAAACTAAAACCAGAAATTCTTGCCAAATTTGTCAAGTGTACTAGCTCTGCTACACAGATTGCTCAATAGTAAGACTCACTGGCATTGGGTAAAGACCAGCAGCAAGCCTTTGAACAATCCAAGTCATTCCTCAAGTCTTAAGACTATTAGTCCACTATAAAGACAAAAAGGAACTGATCCTGGCATGCAGTGCATCTCAAAATGGTTTAGGTGCGGTCCTCTCACACAAGATGAAAGATGGTTCAGAACATCCTATTTCCTTTGCATCCCGAACCTTGACAAAGGCAGAGAGGAATTATGCAAATTTAGAACAAGAAGCGCTGGCAGTTATATTTGGCGTGAAGAAATTCCATCAATATCTGTATGGCCAACAGTTCATCCTAGAGACTGACTACAAACCACTTGAGTCTTTGTTTAACAAGAAGGCCACACCTGCCATGGCCGCTGCTGGAATTCAACGTTGGGCATTGACACTAGCTGCATACAATTACACAATCAAGTACAAACCTGGAATTGAACATGGCAATGCTGATGCATTCAGTAGACTGCCCTTGCCAGTTAGGCCCCAAACAATGCCTGTGCCAGCTAAAACAGTGTGGACGATGGAACTTGTCGATTCTACACCTGCGGGCGTTAAAGAAATTCAAGAAGGAACCAGAACTGATGTCTTACTTTCTCAAGTAGTAAAGTTTGTAAAGAATGGCTGGCCAAGCAGAAACAAAGATGAAGCACTCCAGCCGTACTTCGAAAAAAAAGAATTAGGCATTCAAGATGGGTGTCTGTTATGGGGAAATCGTGTGGCAGTACCCCCAAAAGCAAGAGAACGAATGATGGAAGAATTACATGAGACACACCCTTGCATTTGTCCTATGAAGTATTTGGCTAGAAGTCACGTGTGGTGGCCAAAGATGGACTGTGAGTTAGAAATGAAAGTACAAAGCTGCAACGTCAGTCAAGTAAACAGGAAGTTACCTCCGGAAGCCTCCTTACATCCCTGGGAGTGGCCTCATAAGCCATGGGTTCGCCTACATCTAGGCTACGCTGGTCCATTTCTTGGGAAAATGTTCCTCATTATAGTTGATGTGCACTCCAAGTGGATAGAAGCATTACCAATGAGCACTTCGACTTCTGAAGCTACCATAGAGAAGTTGAGAATCGCCTTTTCAACTCATGGACTTCCACAAATGGTTGTTAAAGACAATGGCAGTAGCTTTGTGAGTAAAGAGTTTGAAGATTTCCTGAAACAATGGAATACGTCACATCAAAACCGTGCTTTATCATCCCTCATCAAAAGGGCTTGCAGAAAGAGCTATTCAACCTTTCAAAGAGGGAATGAAGAAGTTGAAAGATGGAAGTTTGGAAACCAGAGTATCGCGTTTCTTAAGCCGATACCGAATCACTCCTCAGACGTCAACAGGCGTATCAAGAGCTAAATTATTGCTAGGCAGGAAACCAAGGTCGAGATTGGATCTCGCTTACCCAGACATAAGTCGTAAAGTGCGTGACAGTCAATGGTCACGAAAGCAGAGGCATGATCTCCACGTGAAGGAGCATACCATGATGAAAGGAGCTTAAGTCTATGCCAGGAACTTCAGTCAAGGTCCAAAGTGGGGACCTGGAACCCTACGCAAGTCAAATGGTCCTATTGCATTTGAAGTTGAACTGGAAGATGGACGTATGTGAAGGCGGCATCAAGATCACGTGATACAGAGAGCTAGTGATCCTCCGTTACCGACCCAGTCAGAAGTCTTGGGAAGTATTCCTTCACAGTTAGAGAAGACAAGGCCGTCCATTCAGCCTATGGAAGATCATGCAGCGAGTGTAGGAATGAACACTTCTGCTGCAGCAGAACAGTCTGATGTCCAAATGAACGCTGAGAGGCATTAGAGGATGTTAGCATCGATAACGAGTACGAGTTCTAGAACGAGATCAGCGATTTTGCGTACTGCGCATCTGTTCTGCGCATCTCCACGTTTTCAAGTCGTCCTGTCAAGTTGCACTATGACGAGTTCTCACCAAAAACTCGAAGTGGGTAGAACGACTGGGAAAAGCTGGTTTTCAAAGGTAAATTCCGATCGTTTAATGCAGTTTCTTTTCGTTTCTAGCCTCTCTTTATCATCTTTAACATTCCTTATATTATGTTTTATGTAAAATACTGCTTTTGAAGTCAAGGAAAAGCAACCAAAAGCGATATTTCCTACACAGAGTGAATTTGCACCTACCCGGGAAAGTTTCATGTCTCTCCACAGGCCTCACAGGCTCACAAAATAACGCCGAATTTGCCATTATTTGGTCGAAAATATCCCAACAGTCGAAGATATCAATAAAGAATACTTACTTCTTTATCCAGTGTGGTTGTTGTGTTGAATTTGATGAGTTTTAGTGTGTTTTAAGACCACGACTAACCATCCTTCGAGTTCGTCCAAAAAACCTTTCATGTAACTGAGTAACAAGCAGTCTTGAACGTTTTTAAGAGTCATTTTTTGTTTTCGAAATTGTTGTGGAAGTGCTACAGTAAAAACCCGCGTATAACAACCTAGAATTTTGGAGTTCAGGCTGAACAGGTTCTTATATTTTGGGTTATTTTTTCCAATAACAGGCTGATTAGGTTCTTAGTAGGTTCTTATTTGCAAAAGTTATCATAGTGATAGCATTCAGGGGAACTGCAATAGTACTAATATGCTATAATTGTAAAGCATTTACAAAAATGTCAAGCCTTGTTGTCGAAACAAGTCCTGTATCATGGTCCAAGAGGAAAGTCCTTTATTTTTTCATATTGTATTAAAAAAACTGTTTTGATTTTTAAGTGTACTGTACAGTTTTTGTGACTGTATTTGTAACTACAGTAAAGTTTTATTGAATGAATAATATTTTTTTGGTAAGACTGAGAAGCAGTACACCACAAAAAATTTCACAATTAAAATCCAGAATTTGAACATCAAATCTGGAGTGTTTTTTTTATATAAGAACCTATTTTTCTTTGTCAGGCTGAATAGGTTCTTATATATTTGGGTATTAAAATACAAAATTTCAGCCTGTAGGTTCTTAAATCACTAGGTTCTTATACGTGGGTTTTTACTGTACCTCGACTCAAATTTGGCGCCCAGTCATGCGGAATCCCATAATTTTATTTTCTATAAACTCGAACTCGGTGTCATCGGTAACATAGAAAGCTGAGAAAGCGACTTCAAGTACGAGTACGGCTTGAAGTCGTTCTCATACTCGTACTCGTTGTTGATGCTAACATCCTCTATTATCCAGTGAGAAACCGACATGCTCCTCCATTTTTGAGTGACTTTGTTTCTAAGTGACATTTTCTGTTGAGTTAAGGTTACGTCAAAGAGATACTTAAGGACTTGATTTGTTTTTCTTAGTTTTAAACCTTACTGGGGGAGTGTAGAGTACTCATTGTAGTATCAGCTATGTAACCGCTCCTCCAGTAGTTTTACTCAGAGACCATGTGCTTCGCAGTGGTGCAAAAAAAGTTGGATAAAATAAAAGGCAGTCAGTTTTGTTTACGAAGTCTGTGTGGAATTCACAGTAGTTAACACAAGAATATTACAATGCTCTTCTAATGTTGACTCAGTAGCCCTAGAGGACTGTATTTGTCATGAAGTGAGAGTTGCAAACGAGTGGTATCGCAGAAATAGAATGAATGTAAATGAGACAAAACATCAGGCTATTATCTTGGGAAGAACAGGCCACTCCCCGTTTTTTTCCATTAAAAGATTCTTTGAATATATTTGGAATAAGTATTGACAATAGGCTGTGTTTTGATAATTATATATCAACTATTTGTAAAAATATAAAAAGTCATGATCAGTTTAATGTAATTTTAAGATTTACTCATCTATAAAGATACTCTTTTATGATTATATAAAGCTTTTATTCTGCCACACTTTAACTACTGTTCGTCTGTTTGGCACTTTTGTGGTGTGTTAAATACTGAGAAATTGAGACCTTAAATAAGCGAATTCTTAGATTTATCTTGCAGGATTATAATTCTCCATATGACCCTCCACTTAGTAAACTCCAAATCTCTGTATAAAAGACGCTTTCAGACTTTCCTAATTATATTATACAAGAGCTAGTTTTTTACCCGCTATCCAGGCTATCTAAGAGATCTCTTCAGTCTCCGGACTACATTCTATAGCCTACGCGGTAATTATATTTGTCTCTAGCATCTACAAGAAGTACTACTTATGGTCTACGCACCTTTTCGTATATGGCTTCAAAACTATGGAACTCTCTTCCAGATTCGTTCAGAACTTCTGACTTTCCTGATTTCAAGTGCAACATTCTACAGTATGACTCTTTTTGACAGTTTAAATATTAGAATGTTATAATTTCTCGTTTTTGTAGTTTTAAAATTATACTTGTAACTCGAAGATACTAGCTTATCTTTAGCTACTTTCGATGTTAAATAAAGTATATGTATGTATGTATGTATGTATGTATGTATGTATGTATGTATGTATGTCCAAAGGAAGCTGCCTAAATACTTGCCAAGCATGTGTAATAGCAACATGGAGATTAGGATTGAGGGCTCCTCTTGTCACCCACAATTATTAGTGTTTTTTTGTGTAGCAAATTTAAGTTAGAAACTATTACTCTCGACTAAGTTGTTGCGGGAAAAATGTTTCTGGTAATTTTTATCTGTGGCAACTTATTTTTGAAGTTTGCTACAAAAATTGAAAAAATTAGAACCCACAAGAATTTTGTGCCACCCGGTAGTCACCTCGAGGTTAGAGAGCAGCAGTGGAAACTCCTAACACCAGAGGAAAAGGTGTCGAAAATTTCTGCAGTAGATAAGGGGGTGCCAAAGGCTATGGCGTTCATGAAGAAGACAACCTTAAACAGGCAAGTGAAGCGGAATCAATGTTTGCCGTTATTCCCTTAAGTAACCCCTCAGGACCACATATTGTGAGCTGTGATAGAGAAAAAAGTGTGACTGTGAGTGATACGGGCTAAAGCAGATCTGCTGACATTACATTGCCATCAGTAGCATTCAACACACTCTCGAAGAAACTATCACATTGGCTCTGAAATTTCTTAAGTCTGATGCACGACTCGATTCCTAAAAGATCAGTAATAATGCCAGGACCCTGTAGAATTCATCCTACATGAGTACCAGAGAAACACGATATGAGTTACTTCAAAGCTCGATGCAAAGGTGTTGAACCCTCAGATCCTGAACCATTTTGCTTAAAATGGCTAAAAGACTCTCAAGTAACTACATGCTACAGATGTGGAAATAACATTCATCAAACCACTGACGACCCAGTTTCGCCAGATCTTTGTGATGTTGCTATTTGTAGAAAGCAAGCCTGCGAGTATACACCAAGAGCCCCGGCTGGTCTTCAATTGACAGTAAAACCAGAAAACATATGTGAGGGAAGCTTGTATCGCTATGAAGTGCTCGATTCAGTTCCTAACGCGGTTAAGATAAGAATTAAGTTTGAGCTCAATCTCCACCATAGACTAAGGCAAATGATAAAAAGTATCATCAGCATAAAATGTAACAAAGCAGCTGTGACGTATTATGCCATCATACGTCACATGTAAATTGGTTGAATACTTACATACCCGGATGTAAGCACATGTTCGCAGGTTAAAGGCTGTTGGCTGTGAGTTATGTTGTACTTCGACTGTTATGCTGCATTGCCGTTAGTTTAGTGGACTCCCACGAATCATTACAGTGACCGGAGTATCAGGAATTTTGCAAGTGTTTGCTGCCTGTCTCTTGCTCACTGAGTTGAGCTAGCGAGCAACTCGAAGTGTTTTCATCGTGCGTGGACGAATTATAAATTGGCCTCTTCTTTAGTTAAGCAGTCGAAGGAGGAAAGAACGTCAACATTACTCGCATGTTCAGGTGCCGATGTGCTGGAGATTATTGATGGGCTCAGTTTTGAAAGCGAAAAGGAGCGTAAGGATATTGATGCTGTGCTTGGAAAATTAGAAGCTTTGTTGTAGGCAAAACTAATGAAATTTACAAGCTGTACCAAATAACCAAGCAGGACCAGGAGTTGGGCGAGTCCACCGATTCGTATGTAGCTGCACTTCACACTTTGTCTAAAATGGGCAACTATGGTTTGCTTCTGAATAGTCGTATTCGTGACAGAATTGTTGTTGGAATTTCGGGATAATGGCACTCGTAAGCTCCTTCTTCAGGAACAGGAACTTACCCTGCTAGATGTATTGACATTTGTAGGTCAAACAAAGCAACAACTTTTACATTACAAGCAATGAGTAACCAGGAGGATCTTAAATTCTTTTCGGATGGAAAGTCGAAAGGCAAAACTTCTGAAAACATGAATCCCAATGATAAGGGGTGTAGCACTGTCATTCCGTGTAAATTTTGCGGGAAGCGGCACACAAGAAGACAAGAAGATTGCCCTGCGTGAGGAGAGAGTTGTATTAAATATGGAGATAAGAACCATTTTGCAGTTAAGTGTTTCAGGCACTCTTCTGGAAAAACAGCTGCCAAGTCCTCTAAGCAAAGAAATAAGGGGCAGCTAGTCCATGGTTTGAGCGAGGATTCTTTCTCAGAAGAATATCTTCTTCCTGTGAGCTCAAGAGTCACAATGCGACAACACTCAATGCGCTGCCCATGAGGGATTAAATAAAAGGGGTTATGACGATCCTCAGCTTAAGGAATTACAAGCTTCTGCAATTTTGAGCATTACAATGGTACTAACATGCGCTCTCTTGGAAAGAAGCGGATCAGAATGCTTTACCTAAACAATACTAGCAAGTACAACCTTGAGTTTCAGCTTGTTGGTGAAGAGAACAAGCCAGTAATGGAGCATCTGCTATACAAGGAATGTAACTCATCACTGTAAACACGCAAAACATTGTAACTGTTGATGGTTCTAGTTACAAAGGTCTTTCGTTGACACAGGTTGTTGAGCAAAACAAAGGTGTCTTTGAGGGTGAAGGCAGGTAGGAGGACAAGCTACATCTTCATGTGGATTAGAATGTAACACCTGTACAGATGCCTGCTGGCTAACCCACCTATTGCAGTGAAGGAGCAGTACAAAATGGAGCTTGAGAGGCTGGTTGGCTGGGGAATTATTTCAGCAGTTTCAGAACCAACTGAATGGAATTCATCTACGGTTGTGCCAACGAAATCAAATGGTAAATAACGCGTTTAACTTGATCAAAAGCCTCTGAATAAGGCTTTAAAGAGGAACCATTATCTGCTGCTAACTATTGATGATCTGCTACCGGAAGTGTCTAAGGCACGAGTCAACAATGGTTTTTGGCATGTGCCTTTAGATGTCGAAAGCAGTAAGTTAACAACCTTTGGTACACCAGGGTGGAAAACGATACCCTTTGGCATAGCACCAACTCCGCAGAAATTTCAGCTAGGCTTCATGAAGCCATTGGAGGAAAGGATGAAGTTAAAGCTCTTACAAATGACATCACTGTGGTTGCTGTTTGTGACACTAATCAGGCTGCATTGCAAGACTGTCGTCAGTAAAACATCAAATTGAACAAGGATAAGCTCAAATTCAAAGTTTATGAACTGTCGTATATATTGGTCCCATCATTACTGATGAGGGGTTGAAAGCAGATCCAGCTAAGGTAGAGACAATAGTACATATGCCTCCGCCAATGGACAAGGGTTGTGCAGACTCATGGGAATGGTAAATTACTTGCAGGAATTTGCAAATGGCATATCTTGTTAAAGGGGAACGTTGATTTTGTCTGGGATGAAGTTGTTTATGGACAGTGTTTCAAGCGTGTGAAAGCAGTGATACCTTCTGCACCTGTTCTTAAGTTCTTTGAACCACGTGTGGAAGCAGTGCTACAATGTGATGCTTTTCAGCATGGTTTGGGTGCACGTCTTATGCAGAATGGGCAGCATGTGGCCTATGCTTCTCGTTCTTAGACACCAGCAGAGGCTAACTATGCACAGATTGAGAAGGAGCTTTGAGCTGTAGTATTTGTGGTTGAGAAGTTTAAGAGTTATGTTTATGGTAAGAGATTCAAGGTGGAGACGGACCATAAGCCACTGGAATCAATACTCAGGAAGAGCTTGTTAAGTGCGACAGGACACTTTCAAAGGATGATGCTTCGCTTGCAGAACTTTGACTTAGAAGTCGGGTATAAGGAAGGCACGCTTGTCCACGTAGCTGATATCCTCAGTAGAGCCTACATACTCAGAACACAGGCCAAAGGTGCTGAAGCGGATGTCTCTTTTGTAGCAGATGTTAAATCTCCTCTGGAGCAAGAGGTTGAAAGTATCAATTCACTAAGCTTTGTACCATTACTCCTAGAGCCCTGCCACGGTTCAGCAACCAATAGAGGCACACAGTGGACTGGCGGTCCTAAAGGCCATGATTAAAGCAGGGTGGCCGGATACCCAAGAAGAAGTTCCAGAGTGTATTCGAGAATACTTCAGTTTTAGAGATGAACTGTCTGGGCAAGATGGTTTGGTTTTAGAAGGTGAGAGGTTAATGATTCTACCGAGTATGAGAGGAGTTCAAGCAGAAATTGCATCAGAGCCATCAGGGGATAAAGAGATGCATCAGAAGAGGCAGAGAAGTTGTTGACTGGCCTAGAATGAGTAAGGACATTGAAGATTTTAATTCTAGTTGTACTGTATGCAAGAGCTATCGACCTGATCAGCAGAAAGAGCCAATTATAAGCCATGAAATCCCAACAGGACCATGGGAGAAGGTAGCCTGTGATCTGTTTGACTTTGAGAGATTTGTGTGGACTACTACTATGACTACTTCGAAGTTCACAGAATTTATGACAAGAAAGGAAGAGTAGTAATCGTAAAGCTTAGGTGCCAGTTTTCTCGACATGGGATACCTGTTCAATTGTTCAGTGACAATGGGCCCCCTTTTAACTCGAAGGAGTTCCAGAGACCTTAGAATAAGTTGTCACTTTCAACAATTTTCAAAATTTCCCTTCTTTTGGGGTATTTTTTTGCCATTAACAGTTCAAAAGACAAACTCTGAGGTCCACCAAAATGCCTGCCATTTGTGTTGTTTAATTAGAGACTTATAGAGGAGACTTACCTGGAAGTTGAAGTTTGATAGGAATTCTATCAGGCATCTAGAGAGCAGAATGATTTGCCACTGATTTGCAAATGATTTCCACTTCTCGAGGTAGACCCAGTATTGTTTTTGGGTCGCTGTCCGCCACGAGTTGAGGATTGTGTCTTGAGTTTCTTGTAAAATTCCTCTACTCTGGAGGGATTTCCAGATAAGAGGCAGGCCATCAGACAAAGCGGGCTGCCCAGGGGTGGCACTGTTCTGGGGTGAATGGTAGATGGAAATTGCTCGTTTGTCTTGGCAGGAAGAGTGGCTTCCAAATGAAGAGTCTTGTTAGCCTGGGGTACCATGGCTGTGTTGGCCAACTGGGGGCGATCAGGATGGCTTGGGCTTGATCCAATTCGAGTTTCTGCAAAAATTGTGGTAGGATGCTTAAGGGGGTAAAGGCGTATAAAAAATGAGTACTCCAATCCAGAGTGAAGGCATCAATTGCCATGGCTTGTGGGCCTGGAAGCCAGGACACATAGGGGGTATGTTGAAAGTTTAACAGTGAGGCAAACATATCAATGGTGGGTGTTCACAGGATGTTTACTATCCTGTTGAAAACATCCACATTAAGGTTCCAATCAGCTGAATCATCAAAAACCCTGGATGCTTGGTCAGCGATAACATTGACTTCCTCTGGAATGTGGCTTATAGAAAGCCATACGTTTCGTGGGATGCACCACTTCCATATTTGTCTGGCAATGTCATTCCATGGGACGGAGTGAGAACCTCCCATGTTGGGTACATATGCAACAGCGGTGGTATTATCAGTCATAACTCTAATGTGATCATGGGTCACTTCCTTACAAAGGGACTGCAAGCCAAAGAGAATGGCCTTTAGCTCCAAGTAATTAATATGGTGGCTTTATGGTGAACTGCACCACTGTGCCTGAGTTGTGGTGTCGTTCAGGCTTGCACCGCACCCCTGGGTAGAGGCATCAGTGTACAAGGTATGACTTATCTTCCCATAATCAATCCTCCTATTGGAGGTCAGGGCATTCCTGACGAACCAAGAAATATCTGCAGATGCCAATTTGGATAAAAGCATAGTTTGTTCAAAATTCCAGTTGTTAGTTTTAAGAGCCGCAGGTTTTTCTATTACTAGCTGACAATAGAAAGGTTATCCGTACTCTAGACCCAGGAAGCAGGAAACCATCATGCCAATTAATTGTGCTACCTCCCTAATAGTGGGTGATTTGCTGTCAAGGATTCTTTGGGCTGCAAGTTTCAGCTTTCGATGTTTATCTACGGAAATGGCTACTGTCATATGCAGAGAATTTAAAATAAACCCTAGGTGATACAAGACCTGGGTTGGTGTTGTCACTGATTTCACATCACGAGGCAAAAAACCTAAATCGTGATACTGGGTTAGGGTATCATCAATGTTGGCTTGGCACTCCTCAGGGGAGTATCCTAATAAAAAGGAGTCATCAAGGTAGCCACTTGAGGAACAAAAACACAGGTTTCATAAGTTTGGTGAAGAGACGTGCGGCGGAAGAGAGCCCCTGAGCCAGACACGTAAATTGATATGGGTTTCCCTGCCATACGAAAATAAGATATCTTTGGTGCTCTTTGGCAATAGGCACTGAATAGTAGGCATCCCGTAGGTCAACGGATGCCATGTAACAACGAGGTCTCATGAGTTGGGAACAAGTGTGGATGGAATCCATTTTTAAATGATGAAAACAACGATATTAAGATCCTTTAAGTTAAAAATCATACGGAAAGACCCATCTGTTGTAGGTCTCAGAAATATAGTCGAGATAAACTCTCCTTCCCCGTGGCATCTTTTAACTATGATCCCTTTTTCTGGGAATTTGGATATTTGTGTATTGACATTTGCACTTTCCTGAGCTGAAAAATTAATTGTCCTTTGTATGGTAAACTGTACTGGGGTAAGTAGAAAGCCTATTTTGTATCCCCTTACAGCATTCAAGATGCTGGGGTCATGTGTTATTTGTTTCCATTTTCCAAGAAAATGTTGAATTCTCCCAGCCACAACGGCAGGAGAAGTCTCATCACCCTTAACAGATAAAAGAAGAAATTGACTTACAGCTTCAGGGGTCACTTCTGTGACACAGATTTCTTCCCCCTTGGAGATGTTGTTTACTCTCTGGTTGTCTTTGTGACTAAACTAGTAGTTGTTTTCTTCTTTGGGGGTATCCCTGGTGGTGATTTCCCCGGCGATGGAAAAAAGAACCCCTGGCTGAATAGGAGGACATAGAATACTCCTCACTGCATTTCCTCTTGTGACCAGTGAGTATTTAGCGGCTTTTTGTTGCTTTCTTTGACTGTCTTCAGTCGTTCCGTAAGGTCATCGCCAAACAATTCGAGCCCCACAGGCTGTTTGCCGCTACATATGGCTTTGTAAGTGTCATTAAGATGTACCTTAAAAAGATCTCGCCTGCACATGTTCAGGTCATGTGTGGCAGAGGCTATCAGAAGCACTGAGTTGGATAAGCCTTTACAAAGTTCATCCGGAAAGGGCATTGTCCCTTCCTTTTCAAGGACCTGTCCTTAGTGCTCATAGGCCTGGCAACAGGAATGATGCTTTTGACAAGCAATTCTTGCACTTTTTTTTACTGGGTATCCATGCTTCGGGTTGTTTTATGAGGGATATCCCAGATCTCAGAGCTGATCTTTGTCACATGGAGAAGTTTGCAATTTTCTGGCCTCTTGATGTTTTCTTTCCACTTAAGTAAGGCTGGCTCACTTAGACCGGATGGCAGAAGAATGTCAACAAGTGGTGATACTTTCTCGTGTACAAGAGGCTCGATTTGTTCGTGCTCGGTCACTTCTTTAACAAGCTCTGCGATTTGAATGCAACAGGATGCTTTCAAGTCGTCGCTCTTTCCCTTTTTGGTGAATGGTTCTATTGGCTTGTCGTCGTTGGTGTTTTCCTCGCCGTCAGCCTCAGAGGAGTTCAACAACTCGTCCTCTTCTTCTTGTTCTACATCATAAGCAGCTTTTAATTTCTGCACTACAGCCACAGCATTAGAAAGTAGACTTGTTAGCCGATCTACCTTGTGATTAAGTTCAGCAAGGCCCAACTAGCCGGTCGTTTTGGTTTGTCCTGTACATGTGGCACTGGGAGGTCTGGTTGTGCCAGTAACCGTTGATTTTGTGGTGGTGCTAGGTTGAACGTTCCCAGAAGGAAGAAGTGGTCAAGAACAGTCACTCTTTTAACAAGACATTTTGTTATGTAATATTTCGTCACGTTCTTTAGTTCTAAATCTAAATACGTTTGGCGAGTCAAAGTTCAAGACACAGAACTGCGATGTTGTGAATTTGCAACTTCGAAAGACAGTGTTCAATGATCCATTCACAATATCTGCCTTGACGTTTCCTGTTATTTGTTTGCCATTAACAGCAAGTTTGGTTGGCTATTATCAGGTGCGATTAATGGAGTCCTTGATTGAGGTTATGTCACATACTCTAATATGATTATCAAAGGGCAAGTCCCCTGTTTCAACCGATTGCAGATGATATTTTAGCAAACAGTCTAAAAGGTTTCTGAGAGACAGAGTCAGTTGGCATCAGCGATTTGTCAGTGAATGGAAAGGTCAAAAACAAATCATTTGAGATCAACTTCAAACAAAATGAAGATCAGTAGGAAGTCAAGTAGCCTTGGAAGGAAGACATGCAGCTGTCTTCCAATGATTATCAATTATGTGAGTCGTGTCTATGATCCTGGCATCACAACCTTCGTAAAGAACCATCACTGTTGTCAGAATACGATACCATCATTGAAGATCAACTAAAAAGTGGAATCGTCTAGAAAGTGCCAGCCAAAGATTTGAAAAAGAAACTTAGCTCGCAAACCTAGTATCTCTCACACCTACAATGAGAAACAAAAGTGTTGAGACACTTCCGTAAAATGGCCCCGTTTTGCATAGTGGACATACCTATCCCCTTACCCTATCTACCCCAACCCCTTCCCCCCAAAATCAAGGACCGCTTTATGTTTGCACGTCTTGTGATCAACTATGGTATAAACATAGTGTACGCTGTACCAATAAGCTCAGGCAGTCAAAACCTGACATTGTTAAATATCTATTAAATAAGACAAGTGTTGGAAATAAAGAATGGGTTTGTCAAACATGCTCTAGATATTTAATGAAAAATAAAGTCCCACCATGCTCTATAGCTAATGGTATGGCATTTCCAGTCAAACCAGATTTCTTTGATCTGAATGAATTAGAATGTAGATTACTGGCACCAAGAATAGCATTTCAAAAATTAATGCAAGCGCCTAGAGGAAGACAACTTAAAATACATGGTAATATTGTTAATGTACCTGCTGACGTCACTCATACAGTTAGTATATTACCAAGATTGCAGAATCAAACAGCTACAATTAAAGTTAACTTAAAGCGAATGTTGAAGTATAAGAGTTCAGCATTATCACTTAACGTGAGACCATATAAAGTGTT